TGTTACACAACTTTAGGCAGATTACATTAGCTGGCAGATAATAACTTTTCAAAAAAATTCTTTTCATATTGTCTTTTTTAATTGTTGTAGGAAACTTTCCATGGAGGAAAAGGTATATTTCCAAAGAAAAGAGAAGAGAAGAAGAAGAGGAGGAGGAGAGGAGAGGAGGAGGAGGAGGAGGAGGGAGGATAAGTATAAGAATAAGAATGAGAATGAGAATGAATGAAGAAGAAGAAGAAAGAAGAAGAAGAAGAAGAAGAAGAAGAAGAAGGAGAAGAAGAAGGAAGAAAAGGATAAGAAGAAAGAGAAGAAGGAAGAAAAGAAGAAAAAAAGGACATCATATACTTTCAGCCAAACTAAATAGTTGGAGAAGCTACTCAAATGTCCTTTTTGTGGGCTCTTACCTGACTTTGCAACCACTAAACAAAAGCCACTTAATATCTACATTTAAAAGTGCTGGAAACATCTGAGACGGTCAACAAAACTAACACGACCCCTGAATTTTTTCTGTATTTTAACCAATTATTGTTGTCAACATATATAGTGTATAATTGCAAAGGTACATCATAAAGCTTTTCACCTTCATGATAGTGAAGTAACCTTCATTCTGGTGTTCATAAAGAGAGCGAGAAAAATGGTAAAAGATGACTTAGTATGACAGGAGACAATATGATAACACCTAGTTTCAAGAACAACTAAATTCACAAAAACTACTACTAAACCATCACCATTTACACGAGGATCACATATTAACTATACCTTTATCCTTGAGAGAGCTATTTGAAACTCCATCCATGTTCTGACAGATGCTGGTAATATTACCAAGGGAAAGTTTGTAGCACGATAAGTAGCAAATACAGAAAATCCCTGCAAGAATCATATAATGGTTTCTATATTCTAAATGTTACAAAAAATCCCCATTCACTCTATAATTGCTACCATGTTGTGTATTAGCAATGTATTCCCATAAAAAGAAATGGCTCATCCCATCCTGAATTATATCCTTCTTATTTTGTCTTGTTTGACTTTCTTCTTGCTTAAAAGCTCAATATTTAGCAAAATATTTTTTCTTCTTTAAGTCAGTGATACTGAAATGACTGCTTGTCTCAATCTATGCCAAATGTTTTTTCATGGCTTGAAACCCACCCGTCATTTTGTAGCCAAAATTTAAAAAATCCGGGAAGCTACAAATCGGCGGCGGAGCTTCCCAGAGTCTGTTTTTGCCGCGGAGCACGGCTCCGAGACAGCATCGCACTGGCGGCAGCCCGAAACTGTTTATTTTTTTCCTTGTGCTCATATATGTGACACCCGGACGGATGGTTAATTATATCCTTCTTATTTTGTCTTGTTTGACTTTCTTCTTGCTTAAAAGCTCAATATTTAGCAAAATATTTTTTCTTCTTTAAGTCAGTGATACTGAAATGACTGCTTGTCTCAATCTATGCCAAATGTTTTTTCATGGCTTTAAGATCTTGACCATTTCAAATTCCTGTATATTATTAGTAAGTCCCAATAATTAAATGAAATATTATCTGAAAGAATTGTCAAGCTATTAAATATACGGATTTTAGCCTTAGGACTGATAATAATCTCCCTGAACTTGTAATGCCTCCCAATCTGGAGGGCCAGAATCAATATCTGGCCCACTTCCAAGACTGGGCAACAAGAAAGATCCCACTGATGTAATGACAAGACTTTGGTATCTTCTTGACTCAAAGATCAATAAAAATAATCATGGTAAAGAGGTCATTTGTGAAAAGATCAGTTTCCTTTTCCATTTCCTTGAAATCTACTAAATAACAAACACATTTATATTTTTAGTTAATTTTAAATGGTGTCAGCACATATTTGCTAGTCAAGTGATTAGCCTGAGCCCACCTCACCATGAATGTTGTCTCGACACTTCGTGTCATTTAACTACATTCTTTACAATGCACTAATCAGTGCTGAATAGTTGTGCATCATGCATTCTCGTGCAGAGATATAACCTTCAGAAGTTGACTGAAATTCTTACTTTATCATACTTTCACAAATAATGCCACCAAGAGTGGGGATGCATGACAAACAATTAATAAAATCACCAAACTAGTACTGCATAATCTTAAAAATGACGGCTTGAGCATAGTGAGCCTTACTTTGGCCAATTCAGTGGTTTAGGTGGCCTAAATGCAACATGTTCACCAAGTAGAAAACAAAGAAACAAATAAATGAACACATACAATTTGATCCATATACCCACAGAGACATACACCTGCAAGCAAACACATATACGCATGTTTCCTACATACAGCTAACAACAAACCAGCTAAATCATATTGTTCCAAGTGCTGGATAACACAAGATAGCCACTAACCCATACCTTACAGTATTTCATTAAAACTGATAGATTATACCTGTCTAGTGGTATGATATCTAGAAGGTAAAAATCTTATTTTCATCTAAGTCCTACATAAGACACTATGGTTAGGCAACGCTACGCTATTATAGGTGGTCAAGTTTAAGGAAGTGAATCTTTTGTATACCTCAATGCTATCAATACACTCTTATTCCCATCTTTGTTAAAATCTATAGACTAATCAACCCTAATTAATCACAAATAACTACTTTTGTTTCTTTAGAACTTGACTCTTGTTTCCCTTTTTCTTTTGTTACTTTTTTAAGATAACATTTCACATCATCATAACCCCTTGACTGAGATATCATTACACTGATCTGTTGTATCCCACACTAATCTTTGAGATGTGTAGTATGGTGTAAGCAAAGTTGAGTCCCATTGTTCTGTTTTCCACAATGCAGTGACAGCAGCCTAGAGCAAAAGAACACATGATGATGATCACCATGGAGAGCCCTGCACAACCAAAAGTATTGAGGGTAAACCTGAAGATTTATGAATTCATAAAATTTACCCTCGGGTGCTTGTGAAACATAAACATACTTACACTCACATACACACATGAACATACACATTTTTTTCACATTTCTCCCCCCCAAAAAAAGTTGAACTGACTTATCACCATATAAAAGCTATATATTCCAAGCAAACTAAACACCAGAGCCATTAGTTTTTTTTTCCCCATTACAATAACAAGACATAGGAAGCAGCAATACACTCCGCCACAAAATAACTATGACAAACAGCATACCTTGCATCGCTCTAGTGAGATCTGTCCCTTCCGTATAGAGACTAGACAATATGTGATAGTCATTCCAAAGTGAATTTGGCAGAAAGCCCTGAGAAGGACCATGCCTGAGCCAACAAAAAAAAGAAAAAAAAAGAAAAAAGAAAGAAAAAAAAAAAAAAAGAACACAAACAGAAAAGTTAACCAAGTTGTCGTGGTAACCTACAGGAAGTTGGCTAAAATGGTGTTAACCTACAAAGAAGAGAAATCAGGCAGATTATAGAAGAGGAGTATAGAGAAAAAATGAGGAGAAACCAGATAAAAAAAGAAAAGAGAAGGGAGACGTGGAAAGAAAAAGATGAAGAAAGAAAACAGAAAGAAAAAGATATGGAGAAGAAACAAAGAGAAAGAAAATAAAGAAAAATGAAAGAGAAAGAGAAGGATAAAAAAATGAGAGAAGAGAAAGAAGGGAAAAAGGAAAAGAAAGAAACGGAAAAAGGAAGAAAAGGGGGAAAAGAGGAGAGAGAATGTGAGCCAAAGATCAAACTCCCATGGTTGACGACACATATGCAAACACACACACATAAAACAATATAATATCTAATTGACTGTACCACACGTGGTCAAGTTGAAATCATTCTTTTCTAAAACAAGTTTTCCTATCACCACATTTATTGTCCTTCATGGTATGCTCAGATTAATTCAAAACAAACATGACATCCTCTTAAAACAAGCAGCATTTTATTTGCAAATCATATCCAACATTACACCTGGACCTAAGAGCAAGTGTCATTTTTCCTTTTACAGATGACTGAAAGGTACTCTCAATATCTGGTGCACATATCAGTCTTGGAAGAAATCAAATTGAGTTGTAAAATCAGTATTTAGATAATGACTGTGAAATCAAACAAACTGCAAATCACATGTGTCATTTGCAATAAGGTCCACCAACATAATGGTGTTAATAACTCTTATGCACACATAATTATGCTCGACTCTAATCATTCATACTGTGGAACAGACCACAGCTAACCTGAATCCTTTTGATGGAACATCTTCCTTCCACTATTAGAAAAATGTATAAGAGATACGAGATGCCGTTTCTAATCACAGAGTTGCATATCATGAGAAGTGAGTGAGCCTGGAAGAAGTATGCAGAATAAATTTAATAGAAAAAAATATCAGATCTAACTATTTTGGGAAGTATTATAACCAGCTACTAGAGCCAAGAGTAACCTATTGTACTGAATAATTATGTACCTACAGTATAAAGTAGCTGTTTTAGGAAGAGTTCAAAATTGTAGCTTCAAATGGCAACAACATGCAGTCTCACCAGAGTTAAGCCTACATGCTGAAGAAAAAACAAAATATACCAGCACTCGTTTTGTGGAAATAGCTCCTTCAATAAGGAAGCGAATGCAGTAATGCAATGTACTCATTCCAAACTGAAGGCTTGATGTTAGGGCAATGACTGACCAAGCCTAAAAGAGGTGAGACATTTATCACATATTCTTTCTTTTCAATATCCGTTTCAGGTTTGACCACTGCATATAAACACAACATGCTTACATATAGAAACATGTATAATACAGGAAGAACTGTTCATACACATATATACTTTGCTTCTTTGCTCATAAGTTTGTTTCTGCAAGGAAACTTTTTTCATTTAAATAATATCTCTTAAAACTATATCCTCTGTAAATAGAAACCTGCCTTTTCATCTATTCAATTAATTTAATTATTCATATTACAGTATATTACATACAACAATACTAACTTTTTATCAAGAGAAAAACATGTCAAAATTCTTCCTAAAATTCTATAACATTAAAAAAATCCAAAAAGATGTCAGAACAAGCAAACCATTTTCATGCAAATTACCTGCGCAGCTGTAAGGTTATATCCAGCACCAATGTGAGCCAGAAAGGTAACAATGGCTGCAATCACGGGCACTGTGGGAGCCATGGCCAAACTGATGCTCTGAACATAGGCTGACTTTTCCAGCAGATGTCTCTCACGTTTTCGTATCTCTAAGAGAAATAGTCTTAAGGTAAAACTATTGTCCCTACTGAAAGTTTATTATCTTTTAACACAAATTCATTTCCTACTATAACAGATAAATGAATAGAAATGTTGTAACACTCACTATAATTCAGACTGTATTTTCTTGAGTAAATGGATATTCAAATTTTCCAACTATTTTTGAATACACCTTACATGCTATATTAACTTTTAGAAGTTATAAATGCAATGCAAGTCTACAGAATTAGCAACAAAACTTAGTGTGTCATTATTTGTATTAATGTTATACAAAAAATGATAGTATCATTGAAGGTGCAGTTGCATCCACAATTACATATGGATACCATTTACAATTGCAGATCAGTATCTATTGCTACAAAATTATGTAATTAAAACAAGTCTTCCCTGACATATTCTAAATTAAGACTATTCGGAGACTGGCAAGTTTGACAGAAACCAGAATTAGGTAAAATGGTAAATATTTTCAAGACATTATCAATCAAAATATAAATATATATCAACACTACAGAAAATATTCAAACACTCAAACAGTTTCATCTAATCAAACCTAAAGCCTCTTCAGCTGAGAAATATTTAGGTTAGCTCAAGTCACATTCTTGAATTGCATATTTGGATAAAAGAAAGAAAGTTCTGACTCACTGTTGGCACTGAGATCAAACCTAAGCAACTGAAAAATAAGCAAATCTACCTAATCAACTTATATCTGAAAGAAGCATTTCTTTCAGATATACTATACTGATCCCTAAGATTACTTAGAAAGTGCTATAGCTTCAAGTTTTCAAAAGAAAATTAGGATAGTCTTACCTGTAATACTAGAAGCAAAACTCTTCTCCCACGCATACATTTTGATAAGCTTGACACATGTCAACAATTCATTCATCATTCGAACTCGCTCATCAGTGACTGTTACTGTGCGGCGGCGTAGGTAACCAGTCAAACGAGAAATGCCATACTAGAACAAATGAGACATTTTTATTAACCACATGCCATGAGGGATGGCATGTGCATATGCCATGCCCACTGTGTGTTTACTATAGCAACTATTTTTACATATAGATGGCTCCATAATTACTATGTCACCAATAAGCTAGTAACGAGAACTACCTGTCTCATCTATTTACCCTTTTCCTTGATTTTCAATAAGATTTTCTAGTATTTGATATTGTTATTAGTAATGTTAATAACAATGTAGTAGTTATGTTTACAATAGACAGTATCAATAGTGATCGCATTAGTAAAAGAAAGGGGTTTTCCTGCAAACTCAGGGAAAGGTGAAATGAGGTGCGGTCACAAGGTCTACTAATTGACTCCTTTGTGGCTAAACACTAGCATAGACATTTCCTAAAACAATAGTAAAGTGAACAAAACATTTTCCTGGTGGCATTGGGTTAACATGATAGTATCATCAACCAATATCTAAGAATACTATTGAACTATAAATCACAATACATAAATATAAAAATCCAATCTCTTCTGCCAATAGCTGAGACCTTAGCCATCTATATATAAATACAATAAAAAAACAAAAAGACACAGTAGAAATGGTATATATTTTTGCCATTCTGTTAACATTGGATTAATAATGAGATTTCTATTTAGCCTAATTTGTAAAATAATTTAGAAAAAAAATATCTGGAATAATTAGTATTATGCCTGAGGAAAAGCTATATAAGAAAAGAAAAAGAAAAAGAAAAAAGAAAAGGAAATCATTATATATATCAAAGCCAGCTGGCCTGACATCAAGTGTTTGTACATGACCAAAATCTGTATCTTAATATTCTCGAACATATTCCCTGAAAAGGTTCTCCATGCCTAAGCAGCTTGCAGAAGCTGTAATTTAAGTGATATTGTTCAACTTAACTTTGGCTGAATACATGATAAATGTTTTCCATAATCTCAAAAGATTTTCTTAGAAATGTGTTAATAAATGTGGGAGTGATATTGTATGGCAAGTCTGTGTTAAGTAAAAGGAGAGTCTAGCCAGAGAAGAAATAGTGTTAAGAATGGATAATGATCCTTTAAAAAATTATCTGAAGGTGTATAATGATCTAAATAACATTTATATACACAAAATAGCTATTGCCCTGTTTCATTTACAATTCTCAATGATCAGGAGTATTTCAATTAATAAAAAGGTAAAATAGCCTGCTGTTGTTACTCAGTAATACAATTATTACTGACCATGACTTCAGCTTCTAGCAAAGAGAAAGATTATTACTTATTTGCCAAGTTATAAAATCTTACCTGAAAAGGATAGAAGAGCAGGAAGGTCAACATTCCAAACAATGCCCAGGGTCCTAACAGCCACAAGATGTAAATGACCCCTCCAATTGCCACA